CTGGAGAATTTTCTCAGCTACAAAAAAGGTCTAGGGACTTGTCTTCCTCAAACTACTCGATAACGAGATAGAGTTGATTTAATGATTCGGTGTTTTCCAAATATTTTATGAAGTACAAAAGTATAACGTCCTTGGATGGGTTCGATTATCACGGAAAGGAGTGGGTTTAGAGGAAAATGTTGCTGAACATTTTTTGTGGAGAATTTTCTCAGCTACAAAAAAGGTTGAGTGAAATTTTCTCCTAAAACCCCTCATTAACGAGATATTCCCGATCTAAAGATGCATGTTTTTCCAAAACTTCATGAAATACAAAAAAATTGAGTTCACTGCTGTTAATCGTTTCATTAATCAGTGTTCGACGATAATGATAATCGGCTCTTCCCCCAGACGATTCTAAAAATTTCACACTTGTCATTGATAATAGATAACAATTCAAAACTAAAATACAGACATTTCAGTCATTTAAAGTGCGATTTGAGGGCTTTTCGATGCTGATCATTAAGAAGACCCTCGGAATCACCGAACGGCGTATCGTCCTCGTCGTGGCCCCGTGAATAAATTCTCGAGAATCCGGGATGTGCAGAGGCCCTTACCACCGAGGAAACGGAGACACGGTTCGTTTGGTCACCGGGCGCACAACCCGATGCGCTGGCGATAGGACCACACCGGGGATTTTATTATACGGGCTGTGTACTGTGCATCCTTTTACCCTGTTTGTCAGGGGGGAAACAAGGCTGACGATTAATTTCAATCAAATCTGGGAGATATTCAATCCATCAATTCATAACGAATTAATTCCACCCATGAGTTTCATGATTTTTTTCTGGAATATGTCAATTTTTCAGTCTTTATTCATTTTATTTATTTATTAGGAAATTAGTTACAAAGATGAAATTATCTCGCAGTTATATAGTTAGAATTTCGTAGCATGAATTCATATAATTAATTATTAATTATATAAATTTAGATTTTTTTAACTATTATTATTTTTATTAGTTCACTAACAACAATTTGGTCCATAAGATTTTTTCCATTTGTTCTTGAGTCATTTTTTATCAACTTTGGACAATTTTTTCGATACAGCACTCACAGAAAATCATTAATATTTGTTTAAAAGTTCATTGGGTTTGCCGGGGAGATATTCGATCCATCAGTTCATAACAAATTAATTCCATCGATGAATTGCGTGATTTTTTCCTGAGAAATGTAAATTTTTCAGTTTTTATTTATGTATTAGGAAATTAGTTATAAATGTCAAATTATCTCGCAGGTGTCGAGTTAGAATTTTATAATATGAATTTATATAATCAATTATTAATTATATAACTTTTGATTTTATTAATTATAATTATTTTTATTAGTTCATTAACAACAATTAACTCCATAAGATTTTTTCGATTTGTTCTCGAGTCATTTTTTATCAATTTTAGACAATTTTTTCTACAAAGCCCAAGTAATTTTTTCCAAAATGCAGTTTTAATGCCGTTAATTACCCCTCAATAAAAAACACTATCTCTCATTACATAAAATGATTACCGCATGCGTTGGTCGATGTCCGTATCGGGTGAACAATAAATGTGAATATTGCACAATTAAATAATCCCGTATTTAAAAAAAAATAACAACAGAAGAATGGACATACAAGGGTGCACGGTGAAGATAACTGTGTTACGCAAGGAGGATGCGTTTTCATAGGATACCATTCACCTCGGAAAAGGAAACAAGCCTCCACGGTGCTGTGCACATACTTCCCATCGGGCGTATCCAAAGACCCCTACCCGCCTGACAAACCATCATAAAATCACAAATCTAAATTTTCTCTATTCTAAAAACAACGGGGGGAAAATGGAACACGTGGGCACTTCGCTCCGAGGGGTTACGCGGGCGTTTCCTTGATCGCGGGTGGGACGGGTGGTGGGAGGCGGGAGGATCACGTAAGTGAAATGCTGGTGTGTGAAAAGCCACTCAACGAAACTGTTGTAATTCTGTTTTTTTCCTTCCGAGCACGGAGAGAAATATTCAATAAAAATTACGTATTTTTTCCGTAATTCCGGAGCGAAATGTGGATGTAGAAAATTTTACAGAAATGTCACGGAATTAGTGATAGGCATATCAATCACACGGAGAGAAATATTCAATAAAAATTACGTATCTTTTCCGTAATTCTGGAGCGAAATGTGGTTGTAGGAAATTTTACGGAACTGTCACGGAATTTTTCCGGAGCGTTCCGTAATTTTTATCTGAATCTCTTGTGAAAAATTACGATACCGTCACTTAAATTTTCTGAGTCGATTCCGTAATCGGTGAGTGAAGTGAGAGCTCCATAATTTTTACTGAATATTTCTCTCGGTGCAATCATAATTACCGTTAAATTGCGAAATTGTCTATTTTTAACATAAATTTTGAAAATTTTAAATATTAAAGTAACCATCAATTTGTACATTTATATTTCGAAATATTCTATCAATCAATAGTTTAGGTAGGAAGATTGAGGATTATTTGGATAATCGAAAATCAAGTACCTAAAGTTAGAATTCAGTAGTGAAGTGGTAAACCGGTATAAGTCGATTTTGACTATTGCCCAGTTTTCAATGAATATCTCAAAATCTAAGGGAAATAGCAAAATTTTTGTTGTAACCTTTTTTGTAGAGGAAATTGAGAGCTACAAAAAAGGAGATTACAACAATTTCGCTATTTCCCTTAGATTCCGAGATATTTATTGAAAACTGGCCAATTGTCAAAATCGACTTATACCGGTTTACCACTTCGCTACTGAATTAACTTGTGCTGATAACATTCAACTAAGTTGAAAATCTGATATAATTAGGTAAAAAGAAATGTTATTCAATTTAATAAAATAAAGTAAACAAAAAATTATACATGATATAAGGAAATTATGTGCAAAATAAACATTCAAGAAATTATTGGAGATTCAAAGTAGTCGTGTTACGATTTCGGAATTTCAATAATTTTTTATGTCCATTACTCCTGGCTTATCTTTTCCGATAAAAAAACATGAAGCCAAACAAATGTTACGGAAAGTCATCACCCAATATTGACTCTGTTTGAGTTCACAAAAATTCTATAGTTCAAAGCCGGAAAGCCTGAATTTTGAACGATTCCGAGTTTTCAGAGTTTGATCGGCCCCCGGGCTCCATATGTCGTACTCCCTCGACGTTGAATTCTCATTCCCACCCGCATGGGAGCAGTGTCTCCCGGAGCTAAAGCTAAAATAATCGATTCTCACAACCATATCCACAAATTCTTGAAAAATTAAAATAATTTGAAATTCATACGAAAATAAAACACATGGGGGTGCCTTCATAATTCTCTAAATCCGTTTCACATCATTTGTATTAAAGTTCAACAATTATTCTGTAGAATGATCCCTCAACAATTTCAATGAAAACTTCACACAAAATATGATTTAATAATTCAGATAATTTAAATATCACCAATCATCATTAGTAGATGATATAAAGCGGACGGGAATTTCAAAAAATAAATAATTGTCTCGTGATGAGTTGAAAAATTAACTAGAAAATTATCTAGAAATTGACGAATCCGAATATGAAAAAAACTCATACAAAAAAATTGAAAAGTTCAATCTTAAAAAAATTAAATAATTCCATACGGATTCATGAAGATTTAATGAAAAATAGAAAAATTGCCTAATTGACAAATGAGAAAAATTTGAAAAAATTATTTAATAAGAATAAGAAAAAATATATTGAAAATAGATGAATTAACAAATTGAAAATTTCATTCTTAAAAAACTTGAAATGAAATCTCGTGAAACATGAAAAAAAATTTACTGAGCAATTCATGGATTTCAAAAATAAAGCGAAACATTTTGAAATGACACAAAAACCGTCGATGAATTTCCCAATAATTCATCCCCAAAAAAATTAACATAAAAACGTTATCAAGCAGGTGCAACCCGGCCATAAATAACATCCCAAAATTCCCAAATCGAAAAATCCAAAGAATCCAAAGACCTGTCTAAAAAACTGATACCAAAGAAAAATGAAGAACTAGAAAAATAAAATAAAATGAAATAAAATGAAGAAAAATTGAGAAAAAAATTAAAAAATGAAACATCTCCAGAGAAAAATCAATAAACCCCAAAAGAAACCAACGCGGTTGTTGACTAAAATAAAACCGAGAGGACAAATGAACAAATTTCAAGACCAACTTCAAAAACTGAAAAAAATTGATACAAAAAAAAATTGAAAAGTTTTTCAAAAAATTCCAAATTCCACAAGCAGTCACGAATATTGAATGCCAAATAGAAACATTAACAAATTGCCAAATGAGAATAATTTAAAAACCATTTAAACAAATACAAAAAATATATTAACAATGAAAAAAAAAAGCAAGAAATTAAAAAAATGAAAAATATGAAAATTCGATTCTTAAAAAACTTCCACTAAAATCTCACGAAGCATGAAAAAACGAGAAATCCATGAGTTTCAAAACAAAATTTTTAAAAATGCAAATGACCCAAAAAAATCATAATAAAAGCGTTAAAAAGCAGGTTGCACCAGCCGGGTGTAGCGGTGCCATAAACAACGTCCCAAAACCCGCGGAAAAATTCCCAAACCAAAAAATCCCAAGAATCCAAAACCTGCCATCGCCTGAGAACGCCGAATCCAAAAAATCCTATCTCAAAAACCCCTAGCGCCTCAGCATCAGTCCCCTCGGCAGGCCCGGTGCAAGAGGCCCCGTCCAGGTAAGGGCAGCTGTCCACCAGGTGCCCCGTTTCCTCCCCTATTCCAACTCCCCTCCCCCCCTGCCGACACAACCCGTAACATTGTGGGGAAGCGCGTGCGCGCATTTGCTCCCCTTCCCCCTCCCCCGCCGGAAAGCCCAACTGGAGGGGATAGAGCAACAGCACCGAGAATCAACCATTCACCGGATTGGTCGTTGGCTCGCGCGCGCCTCCAAGAAACCCCGATGCACGTCAACTGAATCCTCAGTCGACCCTGGGCGCTCTCGTAGGAGCAAACCCAGCGCTCTAACCTCCAAAAAGAAATTGGGATTAAAGTTTTCACCCCTCACGTGTCGCGCCAATTTGAATGTTCCGGGGCATTCGCACTCGATCGATTGATTCTATTGATTTTTACGGAGGTAGATGAGATAAAATAGTCGAAATAAATTGGATAAAGTATATGGAATAAATTGGATGAAATAGATTAAAGGGAATCAAGTCAGATAAACGGAACCAATAAACTTGAGTAAAATTAATCAGTGCTGAAGTGAACAGATTAATCGTGTTGTGCATCAGTTGAACATTAATTCCTCATCTCGAGGCGGGAAAAAAAAAACCAATTGCGGCTTTTTCAGTACAACCCACCCGGTCACATTTATGGGGGTGGTAGGCGGAGAGTGCGCCGTCAAAGGTACCGGCGGCAAAAGCCATTCCTGTCACTGCTGCAGTCGTGTAACAAGTGACGTTGGACCGAGCGTTTTATTATCACAACATAATCGAGGAAATTATCGTGTTGATAAGGAGGGCTTCGAGGGGGATTTACCGAGTCCAAGTGGCAAAAACACCGGGGGTGACAGTCATATTCTGGCGCCGTTGAGGAGCAAGATGAGGGTGCTGAAGAAGTTGAAGAAGAAAATGGGATTAGGTGAGAATTATTGGAATTGGATTGTTTTAGTTTTTCGATTTTTCGAGGGTTGGCGGGCGCATGGAGTGGGGGGATCGATCCGTTTGGAGAGGCTCGTATTGTCTCGCGTGGCAACCCCTTCAGGTACCCGGAAACTAACTCCGATTTTCAGTGATTCAATTTCCAGCCTCGAGGGCGCTACGGGAATCGATAAATGAAGTTATGAGAGGGGGGGGGATTCAGCAGATGCACAATGGGGTTTTTATGGGGTGAAGGTATTTCGGGGGGTTGGGGAGGGGCGAGATTATTTGTAAGGGTTTTTGTCAGCTACAGAAAATTTTTGAACAGGAATTTCAATTGCTCTCATGAATTTTTAGATGTTTTGCGAAAAGTAAGAAGGGAAATTCAACAATTGGATTGAGGGGTGGGGGACTTTTTTGGAAAGATTATTGGTAGTTGCAGTTTTTAAACAAGAATTTTAATAGCTCTCGGAAATTTTTAGATATTTTGCTAAATGTAAGAAGAGACATGGAACAATTCTGGGTGTGAGGGGGAAGGGGGGGTTGTGAGGATTTTTTTGTAAAGATTCTCGTCAGCAGCAGAAAATGTTTAAACAAGATTTTCAATTGCTCTTGTAATAATTATTTGAAAATATTTTCCAAAATTTTTACATATTTTGCAAAAAGTAAGAAGAGAAATTGAACAATTCTGGGTGGGGGGGAGGTTGTGAGGAATTTTTTGTAAAGATTATTGTCATAAATTTTTAGATATTTTGCGAAAAGTAAATAGAGACTGAAAAATTCGATGATTTGAAGTCAATCTGGAATTTTGTTTTTATTGAGTATATTAAAATTTTTATGATAAAATTCCCTGTAAAATGATAAAAATTTTGCTATTTCTCTTGGATTTCAAAGTAATTAGCGAAAACTGATTAGAAAAATTGTGAAATTCAAATGGTTTTATTAAATTTAGAGTTTTCTCCTCCTTAAATATCTCAGGATTGCAAAGAGATACCGGAATTTTCCTTAAAACCATTTTTAGCTGACGAAATTCCCTACAAAAAATATATCTATGAAAACCTCTCCACCACCCATAGATTTCTAGAAATTCAGCAAAAACTATCTAACGAAATTTCAAAATTCCATGAATTTCCCTTCATCTCAATTTCAATATTTTAACTTCGTTATTTTTAATCCGGTAAAACGCGTCCTCCTCCCCCTTATCCCCAGCTATTTTCCAAAAACTAATCAATAAAAATTCGCATCTCTTGGATTCTTCTCTCACTGCTATTATAATATGAATTGCACAATATCTCATGCACAATCTCGACTCAATGCCTCTTCATTCCACCCCGGTAACGAGGGTCTATGCGCTCCCACCCCTGCGCCCTTCCCTGCCCTCCCCTCGCCCCTCCTTTCTCTATTGTACGGAAGGACCAGCTGTTCCACCGTCTTCTCCCTCAATTTTTTCTTCCCTCTTCCACGTCTTTTCTCCCCCGATGCATCGACCCTGCGGAAGGAACAGCTGATGCACCGGGTCCTGCCTTTAAAATTGTGAAGACTCTAGGGTACGGAACAATACGGGGGCGGAGCCGTTCCCAGAGGATCTATTTTTATATATTTTTTTATTTCATACTGGGGGTAACTTTTGGACTTCAGGGGGAAATAGAAAATTGAGGTTTGCGTGACATTTTTTTGTATTGAAAAGTTTTGTAAGATATTGTGCACCCACATTTTTTCATTCTCAAGGATGTTTTCTCGGAAATTTTTGAACCCGTGATCCTATATTACAGACGATTGTCTTATTTTTTATAAATTTTTGAAATAAAAAAAATAGGTTTTAACATTTTTTATGCCATTTTGTTCTATGAAAAAATTATAAAAAATATTAGATATATATTTTTCTCTATTCTATTTTAAACAGATTTTTTTCCCCGAAATTTTTGACCCTCGTGACCCTGTAAAACCATTGATTTTCCGTAATTTTCCGAAATAAAAAATACGTTTTTGCAATTTTCACGAAATTTTTAATTTTCTTCTCAACGAAAAAAATTAATAAATAATGAATAAATACATTTTCTCGCGGGGAATTCAAGTTTTGCTCATATTTTCCAATTTTTCGGAATAAAAAGAAAGCATACTTAATTCTTTTTTCATTAAATTTTCGTATTTTTTCCATTTTTATTTTTTCACGGAAATTTTTTTTTGAGGGAAAAATAGAACTCTCTACACTGACTCAAGACACCAGTCACCGCTGTGACGTCACAAACTCTCGTGGAATATCGCCCGCGAATAACCCGTCTTTGTTCCCACAGGCGCCGTTTCACCTAACCGGTTTTTCCCTCCGTCTTTTTTGCCACTCTGTTCACTCTATGGGTTTATGCATCAGCTGTGATACACCGTTGAATCATCGGGAAGTAACAAACAATGAGATTCATTTATTCGTTCAATGGGAAATCTTCATTAATTAGGAAGGGTGATTTATGGAAATTGATGTTTTACGATCGAGAAAATATGAAAAAAAACCTGTAGGATCATTAATTTCACTAATGTACGAGGTAATTACGTCGTGAATTGAATATAATATTTTTTACATTATTTTTCATGTTATCATAAAAAATCCTTCAATTTCATACAAATTAAGTATTTTCACATTTTTATAATTACGGGACAAAATGAGTTTTTTAAAATGAAATCTGCATGGTTTTGTTAGATTTTTCGACTGAATTTCATTGAAAAATTTTTTTTTTCGTTTCATAAAAAATTGTTTCACTGATGTAAGAGGTAATTACATCATGAATTGAATAAAACATCGACTTTTCCATTTTTTAATGCGCAAATAGAAAATACTGATTTACGATTCATTTTTAAAAACTACCCATTTTGCCCCAATAGTTTTCAAAACAGGAGAACTTTCTACTTTATGAAATTCAATAAATAAATAAATTAATTAATTAATTAATCTCGCCAAAAAACACAAGCCATTTTGCCCCAGTAGCTTTCACAACAGGAGGAAATATTTTACTTTATAAAAATTCAGTAAATAAATTAATCAATTCATTAATTAATTAATCTCTCCAATAAAATACTTAAAAATGTCAAATTCCTGAAATTCTTCAAAATAAAAAACCCATTTTGCTCCATTATATCTTAAAATTATCAGCAAAAAATTTCAATTTCACAAAATCATTCTTTTCCCCTTTTCTATAAATACGGGGTAAAACGGATGACCTTTTTAGGAATTCTTCATTATTGTTAAAAAATTTTCTCCTGAAATTCACTGAAATATTCTTTATATTTCATAAAAAATTATTACATTTTTTTTCACTCGTTTTTATTTCATGATAGAAGTATTATACGAATTATTCAACTCGAGTGAGTACAAAAGAGCCCCTGCGTTTGATAATTACCACCCAAGACCTAGCGTTATAAGTACGACACATTGCGTTGGCCAGAGACGTGAGAGGGGCGAGGGAGAGGGAGAGGTGGTAAGTGTATTAAAATAGAAAACCCATTGCCCCGTGGTTAATCCAGGAAATGGAGCAGCATCCCATCCCCAGTGGCGAAGCACAAGCCAGAATAAATAACAATTCCAGACGATTCATCCTTCGGAATTTCTTGGGAGTTAGTGATCTTGATGGGCTCATTCTAATTCTTGAATTCGTTGAACTCTGACCGGAGTCAAACGAACGGAAGAGGCCATTTCTCGCCGGCGGTGGGGCACCTTTCAGATATTAAACGAGAAAAAAAAAGGATAATGAGGGGCTCAAGTACCCGCGGCCCACGTGCAATTGAACTTGTTTCTTTCATTGAGACATGCTTCATTGAGCGAATGAGACGTGATGATTCAATTATCTTGGTGAATGTTAGACAAGGGTCAAGTGGCGAAAAAAATCCAGGGGACGCCCACTATTCTTTTTTTTTTTGGAGTTATCTCGCACTTAATTGGAGGAGTGGGGGTTTTTGAATGGAGTTTGTCGTTTTTTTCTGCGAAATAATTTTCTCTAGGGGAATTGAAGTTTTTCGTGACATTTTTTTCGATGAAAGAATTATAAGAAATGTCGAACACGTTTTTTTTCTCTTTTCTGTATCTAACCAATTTTATCCCCGGAATTTTTTGAGAATTTTACAAGTTAAAAAAACATTAACAAAAACTCCGCTGTCTCTCGTGGATTCCGAGATATTTTCAAAAAGCTAAATCTCAAATTCAATTTACTCCCCAGAAACTAATCCAAAACAATCTTCTTAAATCTTCAATACCTCCAAGACAAATCTTTCGATTTTCAAAAATCAAAATTCATTTTAAAATATCCAAAAAACCCCAAAAAATGGCATCAAAATTTTCTAAATTCACTCAGCCAATCCCTCACAATTGCCCGCAGAACCCTCTTAATTTTCCACATTCCAAGCGCAGTACACTTAATTCACCTTCCATTCCTCAAAACCCCCCGAATTCCAAGATTCGCTCATTAAAAACCCGTCCACGAATGATTAAAAAACCGAACAAAGAAAGAGGAGGAAACCCGTACGGAAGTCGGGTTGCGCAATAGTCATTCGACCTCGTCGAAATAAAGAAACTAACACGGAATGATCCCGAGAATAAAAAACCAGAAAAGAAACATGCCAACACGGCTTGAAATTCAAGACGAATTCTCGTCAAAAGTGGAATAAAACATCTCGAGGTAATGAAAACGTTCGCGTGTCCACGAAAATTGTTCTGCCGGCTGGAGATCATCAGTCAGTATCGGGTGAAAGTGGCCATCGTGTGAATAGAGAATAGAACTCATGAGATGGCCCGGAATGTAATGGTGTTTTCGGTTGGCAGGGAAACGCCGAGAGCCGATCGATAGAGCCACTGTCCCAATACAAACGTTCCCATGCGAACAACCCCGGTATCTCCATGGGGTGGAATATGGCTGGACGCAAAATGACATTCCGCAGGGCCTCAGGTGCTTGGGATATGCAGTGGGCTAGATAACTCGGGATGATTAATCGAATCACGAAATTCAGGGAATTGTTGAA